TACGCCGCTTAAGCTCAACGATAGCGGACTTGAGTTTCTCCCTGTCTGGGCGAGGATCTTAATCTCTGTAAGAGGGATTGATGGCAAAACGTATGAGGACCTACACAGCGCTGTTTGTTGGCATGCGCTTTACATCTAGATTCTTCGAAGCGCTTTTACGGGACTAGACCGATTCACTTTCATTTCAAACTACCGCTCGGCGTACACGATCGGTACTTTTATCTGGGCAGTTGTATCACATCGGTTGATCATGTCAGCGATAGGTTACTATGCATTGATGTAGTCCGTGTGGCTCTTCAAAGTCTCTATCACTTTGTAGATTTGGTTGCTTCAATGTAGCAAGTCTTATCGTGTGAATCACAGGCTTGAACCTTGCGTTTTGACTATATGTTCAAAAGTCAATACAGCATGTAGCCGGCCGGTATCTTTAAGGATCACAAGCCTGTCTTGTAATCCGAGAGCGCGGATTCGAGTCCGCGTGGGCGACCTCTGCAGAGTCCTTATCCCACATACGACTAGTGGTGGTTGCGCGGCAACGAAGCGTCTGTACTGCGTACCGGCGTACTGCTTTTACCTTTTGACTACACGTTCGTCATATAGTGTTCGACAACGGCCTTTCTGGTGTCTCTGGAATGCCTATCCACCTTCACCTCCACTAATTCGATCATTTGCTCCACATACCTAAAGGCCGGTTTCCACGATGTGGATTGTTAAGCAATGCTTTCCTTTCTAGGTTGTTAGTCAACAATATGACTAAGTAGCCCGACCGGGTCAGCAAGAAATGAACTATGATTCATGTTTATGACCTTTCTGGATATTAGCCTCTGGATTACTCACGTCATGGGTTAGCTGCTCTATTGCTCATGAAGTCGATGGTGCCGTTGCATTGGCCCTCTCATTTCCATCATCGTCCTCATCATCCTCATCAGCAGCAGCAGACAGAGAGAAATTCAAGTCTTCAGGGACTGAACTAAAGCGACGCACGGACGATGGAGAACCAAATCTCCGTATTGTAAATTTTCGGGTAGTTACCCGGATTCCTCCGCGAATCCGGATCAACAGGTTTCTGATGCTTCAGGCGCGCCCAGCGGTCTGCGCGTAGTCTTTGCTAACGTTTGCAGTCTGACGAACAGGCACGATGTGCTGTACTACTTTGTAACCTCTCAGCGACCAGACGTATTAGGCCTTGCTGAGGCATGGTTAAACTCTGACGTAACCGACCAAGAAGTGGAAATCAGCGGCTACTCATGCTTCCGCTATGATAGACCATCTAATGATCGCGGTGGAGTTCTACTTTACATAAAATCTTTCTTGTGTGGGAGACTAGTGAGCGCTTACCGATGTGCTGATGATCTATATGAGCAGTTATGGTGTTTGATTCACCTCATACGCTGCGAGATGCTCGTGGGCGTGGTATATCGCAGTCTGCTGAGCCGCTGTTTGGGCTGGTTGCCGCATGTCCGCAACCACATGAGTCGTCAGATGTTCCTACTCATGGGCGATTTCAACTTACCCCGAATACAGTGACCTGAGGCCGAACTTCTCCCATGCCACTGTGAAGTCGAGAGGAAGTTTACGGAGTTGATATTTGAAACCGGGGCCACACAGCACATCAACCAACCGACACGCATTACTGCGCGCACGACTCCATCGTGCTTAGACCTGCTTTTGACTAGCTGTGGGCAAAGTGTGCATGACATTCAAGTCTTAGAGCCTCGGGGAGCGAGTGACCACTCGATGATCATAGCCAACTTGGAACTGCCGCTGCCATATTCTCCCACACTGAAGCCAGCCTTCAACTATTGGAAGGAGGACTTTAATGGCCTCACTTGAGCAGCTAGCCAGATGGACTGGTCTTTATCACAGAATTCGTCTATTGAAACCTGTTGGACTATCATTAAAAAGGGAGTGAAATCGTTGTGCGCTCGATTTGTACCCCTCAAATATCGGAAAGTTGGGCCAGTCAAACCACATTGGTTCGAAAACGAGTCCAACAAACTGGCCGGACGACGACGCAGACTATGGAACAAATTCGTGTTATCTGGCTCTGATAAAGACTACAAGGCGTACAAGGTACAGCGAAATCGCTGCAACAATGCGAAAACAAGAAAACGCAGAGGCTTCGAAGAGGAGCTTGCAGCCGCCGCAAAAACTGCTCCCTAGAGAATCTTCGCATACATGAAGCGGCGTCTGAAGGCTGCAGCCAATGTCCCAGTGTTAGAATGCTCCGATGGACAGCCCCTAACCTCGAGTACAGATCGTGCGTCCGCATTGGCGGCGCACTTCGCCTCCGTATTTGCAAGTGACCAGGTGTCTGTAACGAGTTCGACGAGTACCGCTCCAGCTGAACTTGACAGCCTGGTCTGCAGTATTGAAGATGTATGCAAGCTTCTAGCAAATCTTGACAGGACGTAGCCTGCTGGGCCAGATGGAATCCACCCACTGCTTCTCAAGTCCCTATCGGCCATCATCGCTCCTTCGGTAACTGAGCTGTTCAATAGGTCACTATTCACTGGATTATTACCGGGCGACTGGAAATGCTTAATCGTAAAGCCCATACCGAAAGTGGTAACCCAAGCAAAGTGCATAACTACCGGCCGATCTGCCTGACCGCTGTTTTGGCAAAGACGCTGGAGAAGCTTGTGAAGAAGAGTCTTCTGCAGCTACTCGAGTCGAAAAGCCTCTTGGCGCCCGCACAGTATGGTTTCGTGAAAGGTCGCTCGTGCATCGCCAACCTACTGTTGACGAGGCACGAATGGTTACAAGCGCTGAACCAAGGCATATCAGTCGACGTCATTTACATTGACTTCAGTAAGGCTTTTGACAAGGTAGATCATGCAGTGCTCCTCGACAGGCTGAGGATGTGCGATGTTGGTGGTTCGCTGCACCAATGGATCAGGAATTTCCTTGTTGATCGAAAGTGGAGCGTCCAGGTGGACAACCATTTAACCGAGCAGCGGCGTGCCCCAAGGCACTGTACTGGGGCCGATTTTGTTTCTGATCCATGTAAATGATGTGCCTCAGCTACTCCAATTACCTTGTGCGTTGTTTGCAGATGACTTGAAGGTGTGGGGAATAATCCCCACACCCAATGATTGTGATTTGCTTCAGCAGGACCTCGACCGCCTCTCCACCTGGTCTGCAGAGGTCAACCTCCCAATCAACCCGGTCAAGTCGCAATTAATGATGCTGGATAAGTGTGAGCATAGTCGAACCTATACGGTGGCTGGTCAACCGTTGCATCCCGCGCCTTTGGTGCGCGACCTCGGTGTGCTCTCACGGTACTACCTAAAGTTCATGGACAACACTAACAGGTTGTACCAAAACAGTCTTCGTATGCTTTGGGCGCTCAGGCGCAGCTTCAGCACTTGGTCCGAAGAGATTGCCACTCGCCTCTTCGTTTCAATAATACGACCAATGCTAAAGTATGGCTCTCCCGCGTATTGTCCTATTACCCGAGGCGAGGTAGAAAAGCTTGAGCGAGTGCAGCATGTAGCCACCAGGCTGTTTCCCAACTTACGACGTGTACCGTACGATGACCGGTGTAAGAAACTAGGGCTGTACACCCTAGCTTATCGTCGAATGAGGGTTGACCTCATCAGGACGCACCGGGTATTGCATCTGGGTGATTACCCAATGCTGAGACCGCTGCTTCATCTGCAGCACACGAAAACACCGGTATAAGCTTCTCGTACCGGATTTGAAACGGGTCACTCACCAACTCTGTTTCGAACGCAGAGTGGTGAATGTATGGAACGACCTGCCGCAGCACGTAGTTGAGGCAAAGTCTTTGTCCGAATTTAAGAAGTTACTTGACGAACACTTTGCCGACGTAAAATATATTGAGCGGTACACAGTATATCGGGTATTTGTCTATAAGCAACGATTGATGCAGCTACATAGAGCAAACTCTACTTGCTGCTTGCAACCAGTATTCAGTATGCAGTGTTCATCATCATCATCATCCTCATCACCCTCATCTTCCTTATCATCTTCATAATAATCATCATCATCATCAATCTCATTTCCACCTCTTAACTGTTCCACCTGGACCATTTATTTCTTGTCCATTCCTCTTCTTTGCTGTGGTTATGGCTATGTTCGTCAAGATTATTGGATCCACCGCACATCGATTCGCGTACCGCAGTTTCTAACTTGTACTGAACTGAACCAAGTCAGGCAGACAACTCTAGGGATTCACTTATTTTATTTTGTATCGGGTACCTGTCAATCAGCTTAATCTATTTATGGCAGCGATACTGAATTTCTCGAAGGAAGTGTCAGTTAATATCAAAGAATACCTAACTTTTGCCCGTTTTTTTCATTTTCTTGATTTTTTATCATTCGTTCCGACTCCGGCAGCCGAAGTTGGGATGATGCGTCTGCCTTGTAACTTTACATCCACCGGTCCGAATATGCGTAACTGTGACAGAAACCTTGCAGTATCCCCCTTGCACGCATACAGCTGGTGCGGTGCGAGACAACGGTGCGGCGCAATGGTGTGTTGCTGCTGCTACTGCCTTTTCTGCCCCAACTCCTACAGTGTCTGGTTTCTATTCCACAATATTTATTTCGTGCCAGATGTTCGGTTGATCTCCTTTATGTGAATTAGTGCTTTCTCCGTCAGCTCTCATCGACTCAGTCGAATGCATCGTGTCTCCTGCTTGACTCTTCTCTGTCGATTTTCCAAAGTGATTAACAAGTGGCTACTGCAGCACGCTGCATTCAGCTATCTATACCCACCCACCCACGAGACCATTCTCCATCCCATTGCCTTACTTTTCAACTCTAATTTCAGTAATACAAGTGAGTCTGTTCTGTGTCAGTTGTTCTCACATGGTTGGTTTGGACCTTAATGTTTCTCACTGTCGGTGTGCTGCTTAACCTCTCCTCTCACCTTGGCATCTCGGTTATGGTGTTCCCACTTTTCGTTTTGCTTTCGCAAAACTATCCATTACCCAATACCATCCGTTGCTTTTTTGTACCTTTTTGCTTCACAGATCGAGGGATATCTCAATCTACTTTTAAACGTTATTGACAACTTCACTCATGGCGTTGCTATTGGGGCAAGTTATTTGGTTTCGCTACGTGTGAGTGTGACAAAGTGATGTTTGATCTTCCGGGTGCATAAACTCATGCATACGTCTCTCATTATGTTGTATGTTATTCTTATTTAGGTTCGGAATGTGTTTTATACCAACATATGGTATGTCAAGTGCTTTTATTCTCTTTTCGGTGCTTTCCCGTTTACCGACTTCCCGTTTGTTTTGTGAGTGGCTGATTCCTTTACGTCTTAACATTCACTATAGTGAATATTATGCGAACAGCGCATTTCATGCAAAGCAACATACCTGTTGCGAAACAATCGTTTGTAAAGTCTTGATCATGCCAGATTTGGTGTGCCTCGAAGTATTCACAAATAAATTATTTATTCTTACTGACTGACAGTCTTGCTATCCCTGCCTGGCGAGTGCATTTAACCGAAACCGGTTGTGTGGAGTGTAGTGCTTTCACCGAGTACCACCAAATATTCATCTCTGCGTTTTATTGCAGTGTATACAGATGCTCAAATGTTCATCAGTCGCCATAATTTGCTATCCGGCTCTTCCTGTTTGTGCTTCTAGCTTATTATAAATAAATAAGTGGATTTATTCTCGGAAAGTTCGAGACACGCCTGGATTAGTTTTCCGAGCTGAGCAATTTGATTGCTGACGTTCCACCACCAATCGAGGCGACATCTTCAATGCTTACTAGCAAGTAGCTTGTTATGAGGTACTGAGCTTCGAGCAAATCCAGATCC